TCTTTCATATCTCCTAACAATTTATTTTCATTTTTTTTTTAATTTCAATTGATTTTACTTTAAAAAAATTCAGCTGCCATGTTTTTGTTTTTTTTTTTTCATTCATAAATGACGTACAAGAAAATATGTAAACAGTTGTTTATAAATAACCTTACTTTTTTAATTCGCAAACAGGTTGTCCTTTAGTTTAAAAAGTACGTTGCTTAGAGACGTCTATAAGATTAGCGTAAACATATCGTCAATTTTAATCAAATAGATCTTGTTTCCCATGCATAATACCTACGGAACATTGAGCAATAAAACCAGGACACCACACCCCATTCAATCAGTGGAGTTATAATATCGGATTATATGATTATTCCTAGAGACAAAAATAGTTTGCCTACAAAGGAAGGAAGGTCGTATATCACATTCAACGGAATGATATTGAAATCACTGCTTAATTTGTGTACAAAGGCAATCAGCTATTATCACTGTACATGTACTAAAAAGGGGAAAAACAGATCATATATATATGTTGGTTTTCTATTTGTGTGTTTAAAAAAGTAGATGGTATTTTTTAAATAAAGGTACTTCCATCCTCACAATTTTATGGGTTCGAAGTAGAAGAAACTGCAATTTTTTTCACATAGTATAGTTAGAATTAAATAATTACCGCTAAAAATGTATATGTTGCAATATTTCTCGAGATGTAAGACATAAATAAACAGAAGCATATGCCAAAAAATAGTTTTAGTATACAAGTAAGTTAAAAATTAAGTTAAAACTGGCTTAAATACATAGTATCTGGCTTAAATACATATACTTTACTAAACAATTACTTGTATGTCACCTATTGAAAGGCATTTGTTCAAAAGATATATTTCTATGGGGTATGAATTTAAGGGGGTTGACTATAGTTTCCATTGCGCAATATTTCGCGAATCATAGTAAAATGAAGCGTATTAATTTTACGCTTTTAATGCAACATTTTTCGCTTAATTATTAAAATTAAACAAAATTAAGAAAATATAGGTATAAAGATATAATTACAATTTGATATAACTGATTTTTTAACCGATTTTGCAATTGATAGGTAGGTTGACGTCGTTGCCATGTGTTTTTGACGTTATGATAAAGAAAGGGGTAATAAAAATATTATTAAAGAAAAAGTAATAAACATACGCTCTTGAAATTTAAAACATAGAAATTTGAGAATATCTCCAATATTTTTATGTTTCATGTGAATCCATTGTGTGCGTCATATTTTGTAATACTTTATAAAAGTAGTAAAAGTTGCAGTTTCTGTATTCCAGATGCCCCCTCGGTAACAAGACGGTAGAATTTTCGGGTCCTAAATAATCAATATAATATTACGCATCAAACAATAGTTTGAACAAAATGTCTATTGAGTATTTGTATGATTTGCTTTAAAGTGCTAAAAATTGGCATTTTCCTATATAATCCTATAGTAAATGTACCCTGTATTTTGAGACGGTCCCTCAAAAATACCTACGGTAATTTCCCCCCAAAATTTGCATGTACACTGAAGTTAATGTAAGTTATATATGGTATAAAAATGAACAGTTTCGCTATTGTAGTTTTTACACAATAAAACTATAGTTGGCCCCCTTAAATGACAGATTCTGCGAAAACCTATGACATCACAGGAGGATGAATATAAATACGGTGTAAAAAAGAAATTTTGGTTCATCAACAACATGTTTTGAATTTTGCAGAGAAAAAAAATATTTCATGTACTTTTCTTCTTCATTTTGAATAATATCTTGAAATTCTTAAAAATTTTATAATGGATTTTTAAATCAAGTATTTTTTTTTCAGATATATGCTGGATTTCCATCATTTTTGTCTTCCTTTCGATATTCTCATTCTGCGCGGAAACGCATCCATTATTTCGAATTTCAAAACATACAGATTTCCTCAAGGACTATGAAACTCTATACGATCTCTTCACATTTTCCAACATTCACGAAGCCCGGAACCACACGGTCATCCAATCGAACACCACCACGACCGAACCCGTGGTTCCGAAAAATGATACAGTAGTTCATCCGGCGCTCATAATAACAGACCTTGTTTGTGTGTCGTTTTTTACTGTGGAATTCTTAACACGATTCATTTTTTGTCCCCGGAAGTGCCAATTTATCACCGCCTTACAAAATATAATCGACTTCGTCGCTATACTTCCAGACTACATCGAATTTCTCTTAAAGATTTCCAATCCACAAGGAAGTGACTGGCCTTTTATGGGATTTATTTTTATTTTACGCATGTTAAGGTTATGTCGTATATTCGACTCATCCGCCATGTTCCCGGGCTGTGGATATTACTTTTTTTCCAAGGCCAGTTTTAATGAACTTCTCCTCATGTTTGTCTTTCTTCTGATCGGGATGGTCATCTTTGCCTCCTTGATACATTTCGCAGAACCGGATAGTGGCTATGACAACATTCCATAGGTTTCTGGTGGAGCGTCATTACCATGACTACTGTGGGTTACGGTGATATGAACCCTGCAACAGCTCCAGGCTATGTCATGGAAGTCTCTGCGCAATATCCGGTTTACTGATGATCGCTTTCACTGTTCCAATTATTGTTAGTAATTTTGTACTGTACTACACTCATGTGCAATACGGTTGTTTTCACATGGACGAGATAAATTAAGTTATGGACATCGCTAGCGATAAAATGAAGAGGATGAAAAAGACGAAAGTTTGAAGGACATTTGCTGTCACGTGGATGAAGTGAAACAGACGAAAAGGGGTAAAAGGAAGATAAAAATTCCGAATTAACTGAGAATGGTCATTCTCGAGGAACAACGGAAACTGCAATAACCTTGGATGAAACGTTTAAATACCATGATATAACTTCGTTTTATTTATTTATTTTTTAAATTGTTCGATTGTTTATAGATTTTTATACACGCAGTGCAGTGTCATATTTTAAACATCCATTTGTAACGTAGTTTTATATAAGTTTTGCATTCATATTTATCCAAAAAATTTTGCATGAGAAATGGACACATTTCTAAATGAATGATAGAAATATCTTCACACTTGTTTTTAAAAGTTGTCCTGGTTCAATTATTCATGTTCACTTTCCCCAATTTAATATTGATTTAACATACATTTTCTTCTTCAGTGTATTGTTGGAATATGAATTTTTCTTAATCTTTGACTTTTAATTATTATGATGGCACTTTACTTGAAAAAGTTTTTTGTCCATATTGTTAAATGTTTGTTTCATTTGAATCATTCCAAGTGTTTACATTTTTTCAACAATATTTCTTTTTTCCCCTTTTTTTATTTATTTTACTAACCCTTTAGGGCTTAAAAAATATCCGGGTCTTACAGCAACAATTAAAGATAAGTTTTTCAAAAAAAACTTTTTTTAAGATGAATAAAGTATCGATAAAGCAATTAAATAATATCGATTGTCGATATATCAAAATTCCAGTCAAGTAACATATCATCAAGCAAGAAAATTTTTCGACTTACGAGAAACCTTTGTTATAAAAGCAAGCTATAATCTGGTCTAGTAATAGAAATGACAGTTTATAAAGTTTTAACAATAGTGAAGCTGTGATTTTCAGCTGTTGCTACATCCGCAGGTGCGTGATCTCCGAAATGAGCCTTATCGATATGCTTAAAGACGTACAACACACTGGGGGAGATAACTCTTGCGATTTCAATTGAACGTTTGACGTTACGTCAAATTTAACGTCAAAAATAAAGCGTCAAAACGACGAGTAAAACGATCCCGATGTATATCAATCATGAAAGAAAATATTGCGATATGGGGCTTGGCTGTGATTGTGCGTACCATACTCAATCCAAAGTTTTTTTTTTTTTAATTAACCCGATTAAACTCCGTAAAAAGCAAGACACAAAATACCATGCCTTAATGTTTATTTCATTTCATATACAATAAATTGTATTTTTGATCAAAGCGCAGCATTTTTTTTTTTATTCAGAAAATTATATTTTACATTGCCGAAATTCTCATTGTGTACAATTGGCTATATAATATTCCGATTAATGGTCTTCATTACAATTTGTACATACACGATATAAATATTGTTTTTCTATAAAAACAACAATAAATAAACAAAAAACTTTTTACAATGTAAAATCGATGTTTTTCTCAGACCCTTACTGATCAAAGAGGAACAACTCTGAAAATGTAGGAGATGTTTATTTTCCTCCCTTTATTCACGGTTTTCCACAGAATCAGATACATTTACAGCAAGACCTGATAAATCCGAGAACTGAATACTATAGACCTCATATACACAATGTAAGTATAGAATTGAAAAGAATTGTTCACTTGTACTAAAGTTATCTGCATTTATCATTATGAATATCCTATTGCAGCTAATCGTAACTTTGACTTTCTGTCAACAATGTCGGTTCGCATTTCCTCGAATCAAAACAAAACGTAGCCTATAAGATTTTAAAAAATATCAATGTGCGATTTGATATAAATTGAAATAGATGAAGAGTTTAATGTTTGACATTTTGAAGTTAATGTGGACGAATACGGAATTTTCATTTTAACTTTAGAAGCGACACGACATTGAAAGAATGCGTATAATATCATGAGGGGTGTACATCTAATGCAAATGTCGATGTATCCCTATGGCCACATACTGTCTCGTTTGAAAATAATGACATGAAAGAAATTACAATTATTCCATTTATATCACAGGAGAGTTGAACATAAACCATTTGTTAATGAATAAAATTAAAGAAATAAAATTAAAAATCAACATATTCAAGTTCAACAAAACTTGAATTCGTATCCAGGTTTCATGTATCATGTGATATGGAATGCAAAACGCATACGTATATGGACTAAACACTAAAATCTTTCAGTAATTTTTTCCTGATACATATAAAAAGAGTAGTCAATATTTATTCTGCATTCACGAATTTAAAAATTAATGCATACCGGGATTCTTGACGAAATACCAGTATATCAGAACGACTTTTCGTCAAACGCTAATGGTCTGCGACGCAAAAAAGGAAGGGGTGTAGTGATAGACGTATTCAAAAATTGCCTAAAAATCTACATTTAAATACGCTTTACATATGAGAACTTTTAAATTTGTAAGTTAATATATTTTTCAAGCAAAAGCAATATTCCAATTTAATTTTTTAAAATGTGTATTTGTAGATTCATATAACAAAGTGATTGACCCCCGTCTGAATGACGCACGGGAACGTGATTTATTGAGAAAGGGGGAGGGGGTAAATTTCCGCTATTAAATCAAAACTGGTCGTACAAAAATTATACAAAAAATTGTGAAGATTATTTTTACTACCAGCTACCTAAAGAAAGTTTTTTACCAAAATTAAACGACAGGTTTTTTCACAAAAAAAATTTGAATTTGAAAAATACGCAATTTTCAAGGCTTAGAAAATTCATAGTTTTTCAGTTTAAGGTCTTTAAAAATTGTTTTGATGAAATGTATATCAAAAAGATGACTATGTTTTTGTGTTAAATGGTTAAAGGAATAAGCCAATGAAATTTGACATTTATATCTAACCTGGTTTTTTTGAAAATCAAGGTTTAAGTAGTTCATTGATTAAAAATTTTCTCTCCTTGTAAACAACTAAAGGGGTAACTTTCGGAGTTCTGTCCAAAAACCAACATCTTGAACGATTTTGTCCAAAATATGCATACATGCAGTAGATATAGTCATTTACTAAATATACAAAAATAACGAAAATTAAACGACAGGAATTTTTTGGGGTAGGTGTGTTGTACATCCTTAAGTATCAATACTCAAAAAATCGGTATTGTATCATTTACAGCCTATAGATGTCAGTATCCATCAGAGAGAGATATTATTAAGTAAACTTGTGTCTCGAGGAATGTATGATGAGGGCTTTGTGAAAATTTCTGTATAATACATTTTTTACTGTATAAATAGAAAAGTTTTGGGGAAAAAATCTGTTGGTACATGACTACATGTATATACATGTATGTAATTGCAGAAATTTAGCGAGTAAAACGTTCGAAGACGTTACGTACTAGTACGTTTTCAGAAGTTAGAAAAGAAGAAACAGGTGTTCGACTAGTACGTTTTCAGAAGTTAGAAAAGAAGAAACAGGTGTTCGACTGGATGTCTAATTTTATGTAGCATAGCCATATTATGAAATTCATTTATCCTCTCTCATTTTAAAATACTCAAACACTTTAAGAATGAAGATGTAATGTTGTTTCTGGTGCATAGTAATATTTTTAGACAATTATTTGTTTTTATGTCTCCGAACAGTGTAATTTTATTTCCTTTTAACATGTTGATAAAGTATGTACATGCAATTTTACATTTAGAATAAAAAAAATCTGATGAGGGTATTTGTTTCAGAAAAATATAAAATAAATATTGCAAGCACATGTATAAAGAAAAGATTTAAAATTGAATTTTCAGATTCATTACTTTCCGAAAAAATATATTTTGGTATTTATTCTAATTAATAAATTGAAATTATGGGACTTTCCGGAAAAATTTTTTTGATGTTATTTATTTGTTTACAT